GCTCTTGCCTCACAGCGAGCTCTTCCGCGAGCTCCAGTGGACAAGGGCGGTTGACAAAGATCTGCTTCAAGGGCCTACATGATCACAATATTATCCCATGACCATAACTAGGTCCTCCAGTGGAGAACGTTAAAATAAGGGTACCAACTTTATTCTGTGGTCTATTTTATGATTTTAGTAGGGGAAGCCCAAAAAAGGGGAGAGAAGGGCACTACTGGGGGACCTAGATAACTTAATTTGGTTTTTGAGTACTCCACAACCCCAGTCCGATGATTTACATCTTTGCTACCCATCCGTGCGCGAAAGGACAGGGGTTTGATGGATCCTGCCTTGTACTACGAACTTTGGATCGAAGACCTCAGCTTGACATTCGAGACGTGGAGAATTCATCGAAGTCTGGAAATGACTCGAACTCTTGGACATACCTGAACAATAGCTGCCAAAAAACGGCAAAACTACCAATTGCAAGAAAGGCAACTGTCAGGCTGTCCGCATTGTCGAACGCCTTCAGCTCCTTAGTGTATGACTCCGAATCTCATTGGACTGAGTATCCGACACGATCAGCACCTCTGTCATTCTAACTCTTACGCCTATCATTCGCTATAAACAGTCACGTCAGGTGAGATTCTTCAGCTTGCTCAGTCTACTGCACTCTTCTCACTGACCACCGACACCCCCTCAAGAGCGTGATGCTCAAAGGTGAAACATTGGCAAGTTCCGTCCTTGTCATCCTACGACTCAAAAAAGGCCACGGGATTCGCCCGACTTCTTGCCGCGAATCGATTGGAATCTCGGCGGTTGATGAAGCACAGCCCATGGCCAACGTGCTCAAGGTCACTTACAACCCAGGATCACAAGGCCAAATGCTGCAGCGAATGGGCAAGGCTGTGGCCATGATGTAGATTGAGACAAGTGAAGATCTGCAAGAGACAAAAACTGGCAACATAAGTCCTTGTTTTTACGTGGCATTCCAAGTTTCCGATGCACCGGAGGAAAAAAAACAAAAAACTTGGAAGCACGCAGGTGGATGCCAATACTTCCCCGTGCGCCGGTGAAAAGCATTGAAGCCTTTCTTCCAAACAGCTTTGAGGATGCCAAGTGCATCAGTCTTCCCAGTGTCGCAGGTTGGAGATGTGTGTCAGGTGTGCCCAAGTCTACAGCACCTAGATGCGATGGCAAAGCGCACCTTGTCTGGGGTTGCTAAAATGAGTCACGATCAAAACCTGGTACTCTAAGGGGTCCACCAATGTAAAGAATTGGAAGGGCGTCAGCACCTATTTGGCCATGGGTCAAAAGCCCGTACCCCCAGTGAACATCCCAATCCCCACTAAAATAGACCAACATGGGTGGTGCACCTGTCCCAACATGGTACCATTGGTTGTGCCCCATGGCCATTTATGTCCCTTACCATCCTCAATCTACCTGCGTCTTGGTTGTTGCTCAACTCCTCAGTCCAATCGCCAACCTCCCCACCACGCACCAGGAACGGGCTCAAGCATTCAACTGCTTACCGCCATGTCGGCGGCCCACATTAGCTGATACGAGTAGCTTGCAACAAGGTGAGTCAGAGTCAAAACCCGATGTAAAGAATTAAGAAGGCGGACGCAACTACTTCCAACTGAGACACCCCCTTGCCAACCTTCCTCTACCCGGGTTTTGATTGTGTGGCTCGGGTGAACAATAAGCTTTAACGGGAGCCAGGGTCCAAGGCCAAGGTATGTTTGGTAGGACTTCCTAGAGGCAGCTCTAGTCACTGTATTTGCATTGAGTTTCGCCTGTTGCTTGGTTTGGGAGAACCAAGAGCAAACCATGACTCCGCATGAGGTCTGTGTCAACATTTACCCACCCAGCCCTTTTTAGGACGCCAACCATCTTCATCGAGGCGGGGTCTTGGGGGCTGCAACGAGAGAATCGAGGGACCCAGCCCAGGTTGGCTTTTGGTTCCCACGAACCCGCGAACCATGTTGAAGACTCGGGCCTTTGAATCGGCCCCAAATCAGGTCCACTCTCACTTGCCTTTGTCTCTCTGGCTTAGGTAGGAAAGCCAACCATGGGCCCAACGAAAGCGGGTCACAAGAAAACGCATGGTCGACCGAACTTTGGAGGAGACCCCCAGTTTGGAGGGGGGGCGCCACCCGTTCTCTTGAGGTGCCGGCTCATTGCAGATCCTCAGTTTGATTCAACCGGAATCAGCAAGCTGGTTCACGTGCATAATAAAACGCACTTGTGTCGTGGGCATGTTTAATATGCTTGTTGTGTTGCTATTGATTTTTACTTGAAGGGGACCCAACTTGTTTGGCTTGAAAGGGAATTGACAAAGGAATCCCTTGCTATGCGTGCAGTCATAAAGTCACTGGACTTTTAGCCAACTGCACACATTATAGCCAGCGATTCGACCGATTCGGTCTCGCGGCTGACTAACCATATGATGAAGGTTATCAGTGTGGAGATTGGTTCTAAAAAAAGGAAAAAAAACGAGGTTGGTGAGTTGTAGGTGCTTCTTTCTGCGCTTGTTTGCATAGCGTTGGGTCGACTCTTTGGGTGATGGGGGTTCCCAGCTTGATGGAAAAGCAAATCGCGCTTAGGATTGGGATCCGGATCCCATCTTACAGGGGTCGAGTCAACGTTGCCGGAGTCAATGGACCTCCAAAACCTTGGCAGCGAAAACCTAAAACCTTCCTGCACAAGGGCCATGCTTCAAAACATGGAAGTAACATAGACGCTGGCTGATTGGCAAGGAAATCAACTTGGGTTCCAAAACCAAAGCTCAAAGTCGGAATGCTGTTTAATATAGTTGATATGTTCCGAGAATCGGGGGCAGGGCAGGCGTTTTTGAGGATCTCCGATGGACAAGGAAGGCGTGGCTAGCCCCTTGAGCTGGATTTCCCCATTAAGAAAGTTCTTCAATTTACTCATCTCTACTCTTGGTATGATAGCTAAACACTTTGTTTTCTGCAGATTTCCAGTAAAAATGAACAGAACCAGAAAACTAAAAAACCGAAAAACATGCCAAGAACAGTGAAGTACTGGTGTTCATTGAAACGATTGCCACTTTGGGGGGTAAATGGCTCGAAACCCCTGAGTTTGGGTTTCTGAAGAGAACGATGTGCAAAGAGGCTAGTGACATTTGTTGGCCAAAGGCCCAAAGGTCTTTCCTCGGCTCGTCTTGCTCCGGCTCCAAATCAGTACTTGACTTGTCGATCTGGGGACAACCCGCCCTTCGATGGACACAGTGGACCCTCGGACCCTCGCCAGGCAATGTACCAATCTCGCTGGCCTCTGGAAAGCCCGTTCTCAACTAGGTCCTCCAGTGGAGAACGTTAGAATAAGGGTACCAACTCTTGTCTGTAGTCTATTTTAGTAGGGGAACCCTCCCCCAAAAAAGGGGAGAGAAGGGCACTACTGGGGGACCTAGTCAAGGGCAAAATGGTGGTGTTCCTTTTCAGGGACATCTGGCATTTACTTTGCCCGTTGCATCTCTTCACCAAAAAACAAAACGGCTTTGACCAGATGATCCTTGCACATATCGAAGACCAGGAGGTTGCTCTCTCTCCCCATCTCAGTGCAACACATTCCTCCACTGCGTACAAAATGTGCCATAGGTCAGATTGGTGATGCGCGCTAAGTGAATGTGGAAGGAAGTGAAAAGGTTCCCTGAGAGAACTATGACTCCCTTCTCTCGAAAACCCAACATGGGCCAAGTGAGGTGCTGAAGCCTGAGACTTACCTGAAGCTGGAAGGCCGCAACTGGGAAACCAAAACATCAAAAACTATGACCTCGTTGTGTCATAGACTAAGCGGGTGTTCAACCGGCACATGTTCCAAAACAGCCTCCAACTCAGTTGTGAACCCTTTTGGGCACTGAAACAAGTGTATAGTTTCTGGGTGAATTATAATATTTCACCAACCTGAAATAAGGTGGTTGGGGGGCTACTCCCCACATAAACCACCATTTGGGGTGAGGTCGTGTGAGGTCGTTATAGTTCACCCAGATAGCTGCTATTTAGCACCCAACCAGAGCTGGACCAACACCGGGAAAAAAAAAGTCCTTCAAGGCGCCGGATTTGGAGGATTTCGGACAAACCCGACCCGATTTCTGCGTCTGTGATCCCAGCTTGGAGCAAACGCAAGAGGCTGACAGGCCGTGGGAAGAGACCGAGACGTTCTCCTGTCGATCAGCTTCCCTCTTTTTGGAGCTGGTACCCTTTTTGGGTTTGTTTCAAGGGAACCGCCCAAGGAAGATTGCCGGTTTGGAGCAGTTTTGGAGGTGTGGAGCCCATTTGCCCTCTACAAGCACCATCGGTTCAAGTCCCCCAACGACCAATCCGAACCACCAAAGAAAAAAAAACAACAACAACCCAGCATTGCAAGCCATTTAGGAAACCCTATTCAACGGTCATAGCAAGGTTTGATCCATCGGAGCTCCAAAATCCCCGAGACAAATGGATCGATCAAAATGAGGCAAGGCTGCAAGGCTTCTACGCTCGAGGCTTTGTCATCTGAGCTCATCTGGCTTGGACCGCAAGGACAAACAAACTCACCCCATGTTGGCCCACATCGGAGGGCAAGTGGTGCCTAAGGGCTAATGCAGATAGCATCGTGCCGCGGATGCGGGTGAGTAAGTCTCCTTCATTCTTTGAAGGCTTGGCATGCAGCGACACTCAATTCAGCCCAAAAATGCGTGACCTTGGCATGTGATGTTTAATTGGCCCCCACATCACGGTGGGGATTCACGTCCACCAACCACTTTGCAGATGTTTAGATGTTTCCCCTTAAACTTCAGAAGGATGGGTTCAAAAGAATGGAATCGGGATCAACCTTTAGAATGCTCCCCCAAAGATCATATGATCTGGACAGGGTTTAACTCTAAAACGAGCGCGGGGATGGCACAAGCATAGGTTTCCACTATGTAAACTAAGGGTATGTCTCAGTTGCCCAAAGGAGCCAGAAAACAAAATAAACCTTTTGGTCGCCGAAAATGGACCAAGTGTAAACTCACA